GGCAAAGGGATGTCCAATTTCCCCCGGATGGGCCCTGGGTCCCCACTCTACACTCCCCCTCATTCACAGCTGTTATCTTTCAAGAGCAACCAGTCCACCAGGCCCTTTGCTCCAGCAGCCGCTGTTGGGGTTAGAGGCCACCGACCAGGCCTCCTGGTCGATGGACAGCAGTGTGGCAGAGTTCTGTTTTCTCAAGATCTACCATTGAACTTTCCTTGTAGCTTGGTGGCTGTCATGAAGGCAAAGGAGCCTGGGTGGGTTATGCAGGTTGGGGCCACCAGCCGTTCCCCTGGAGAAAAAACAAGGCTTTCTGCTCTAGGAAAGACTTAGAGGAGGGGGGAGGGGGGAGCTGATACCAAGGGCTCAATCGAAAGTAAATGTCTAGAAAATAATCATGGTAACCTATGTACAAATATGGTTGACGCAGTGGATGTATGGATTGTGATAAGAGCTGGAAGACCCCCCAATAAAGCGGTCTTTTAATATTAATAAATACTAATCACAAAAGACTTACAGCCACAAAAACCCCCAGGATAAACAAACAAAGAAAAAAGATCTACAGCCTTGCAAAGCAGTTCTAATCTGTCCTATAAGGTCGCTATTGAGTCCGAAGAGACACCGTGAGTGAGTGAGTGAGTATAATTGACACAGGATCTGGAGCCATGACCAGGACAATCAGGAGTGTGATAAGGATACCCCTGTATCCCCATGGTGGCTGGAGGGGGGCGTGTGGGGTGGGGTGGGTGGACCTGACTGGGATCAGTCCTGAACTCTAACAAGTACAGTGTCGGAACACTCCGTGGCTGAGACACTGACAGCCCTGTGCTCTGATGGGGACTCTCCCGGGTTGTGAATTGGATGGCTGCCCATGGTAGGGGCTGGTGGGGGGGATTGTGCGGGACTTCGGCAGGACTTTCATGGTGATTTCTTGGGTGACTGTAGGAGAGCAGTGCCAGGTGGAGGTAGGGCAGTGGTGAGCTGAAATGGGGCACAGTGCAGCTTCCTCATGTCCTGAAGCCCTGCCTGCTCCTCCCTCTCTCATTTCTCAATTCAGCCCCAAGCCTCTTACACCTCTGCCCCGACAGCCAGCCTCGTGGTGGGTGCTGGGTTGCATTTGGCTTAAAGTCCCAACATTGCCGCTGTCCAAAAGGCTTCCTGGGTGGCATCAAGAGCTCAGCCCCAGGCTGCAGGTGGATAGATGGGCACTTGGAACCCTCACAGAGATGCCGGAAATGAGGCTGTTTCCACCCACTTCCCAAGGGTCCCAGCTCCTCTCTGACACCCCACCACCACCACCACCACATCTCCATGAACTTGTCTTGACTGGAGGGTTTTCCTTTCCTTATGGGAGAGGTGGGGCACCTTTCCTAAGCCGAACCCACCTGTCCCTAGAGTCATAAAACCCCAGGGGAAGGAGGGCACTTTGCCCACCCTGGCAGGGTCTCAGGGGACCATTGGCAGCTCAGTCCATCGCCACAAGGGGCCGCAGAGGCGTTGGAGGTGCACTGCACCCATGGGGTGGCCAACAGCTGATTCCCCCCGAAACCGATCACCAGGCCTTTCTGACAAGGCACTTCTGGAGGGCACTCAAGCCTCCAACTGAGCAAGTACTCTGCTGACCCCCCCCCCCAGGGGGGGGGTGACCCCCCAGGGGACTCCCTCTGGGGCCGCCGGGCTTGTGTAATTGCCCGGGCGCTGTGCCCAGAAGCATGCCCTCCCTCAGCCTCGCCTCCTGACACAGGGGTCTGCCTGCCTGCCCCCTTCTTTTCCTCTCTCTGGGTCCCTGGCAGTCTCCCCCACCCAGTCTGCCCTCACTTCTCTGGGTCTCGCTTCCACCCCTGCTCTGCCTCCAGGACGCTCAGATAGTCTCCACTCCCCTCCTCCTCTGGGCCCTCGGTACTTTTTTTTAATTTAGGTCTCTTTTTTTCCATTAAAAGATCATTTTAGCGAAAGCACATGTTTTGAGAAGTACAAATGTGCTCGACACAATGGATGATGGATGGATTGTGATGAGTCGTGCGAGCCCCCAACAAAATGATTTCAAAACAAAACAAAACAAAAAAAGATCATTTTAGGGAAAGAAAAAAAAAAGAGGAGCTGATACCAAGGGCTCAAGTAGAAAGAAATGTTTCGGAAATGATGATGGCAACAGATGTCCAAATGTGCTTGACACCATGGATGGCTTGCGATCAGAGCTGTAAGAGCCCCCAATAAAATGATTTAAAGGAAACACAGATCATTTTATTGGGGGCTCTTACCACAAGCCATACATCCGTTGTATCAAGCATATTTGCACATATGTCGCCCGCATTCTTTTCTCGACATTTATTTTCTATTGAGCCCCTGGTTTCAGCTCCTCTTTTTCCCCTTCCCTCCCCAGCCAGCACCATTTTCTAAACATTCACTTTCGATTTGAGCCCTTGGGATCAGCTTCTCTTTTCCCCTCCCTCCCTTGGCCTTCACTGTCTTTCTTGCTTCTCTCTGTTCCCTCCCCTCCCCTCTCCTCCGCCCTTAGCTGCTCCCTCTCCCGCTGGGCCTCCCTCTCGCTTTAGAACCAGATAGATTTCCATGCCCCTTGGCCTCCCTTTGCTTTTTTGAAAACTGCCCCCCCACCCCAGCGGCTTGCAGTCCCCGTGCTGCCCCCGTGTGTCCATTCTATTTCCATCCGGGACTCAGCCTCCGTGACCCCCAGACGTTAGGCACAGCAGGCCTCCAGCCCTTGTAGTGGTTGTTAGGTGCCCTCCAGTCGGTCCCGACCCACGGGACCCTTGGCACCACAGCATGAAACACTTCCCGGCCCTGTGCCATCCTCACCATGGACCCTATGAGCCCATGGTGGCAGCCACTTGTCCACTCATCCCCTGGAGGGGCCTTCCTCCAGCGTGTAGCTCCCTTCTGACTCACTTTCTGGTCAGTGGCCCTGGTGTTCTCATGAATGGGTGCTAGCTCACCCAGCCCTTGTCTGCCCCAACCTCACCACCTCCACCAAGCGACCAAGCTGGGGTATTGGATCCAAGGCAGGATTCCTGGATCTGGTTGTGGAAGGGACTCCAGACTCCAGGGTCTGAGGGCATTTCCTGGTCTAAGGGAGGAGGGGGCTGCAGGTCCCTGGGGAGGTGCCTCTTGTAGGGTCCTCAATTTTCTAGCTCTTGTCAGATTTGGGGGTCTCCAATCACTTACCTGTGAACCTCTCCTCGTTGCCGTCTCCTCTGGGCCTGTCAGAGGGCTGGGGCCAAAGTTCCCGGGGTGGGAGGTGCCAGGGTTTGACTTTGCCCTGTGTGGTGGAGGAAGGAGGGGGCCCTGACTCAGCTTATTCCTGGGGATGGCCCTCCACATGGCCTTTTCCTGGAGTCTTGTCTCATCCACACGGATCCGACAGGACCAGGGGCTTGGCATGAGGCACTGTGGCAGGAGGGGCCTCTGATGGCAGGAGGTGGCCAAGGGGGTGCCAGGACGCCCTGCCCTCTCCTGTTGACTCTACTTCCTTCTCTTCCCACCCCTAGATTTGGGCACGAAAACTTCTCCCTGTCCCTTGGCTTCTGGGTGGTTCCAGAAGATGCGTCTCCTCCAACTTCAAGGTGAAAGGAGAGGACTCTTGGGGGCCCAGGACCTAGACTCCCGAGTCTGCAGAAAGAGGGGCAGGGGGGTTGGACTCCAGGGTCTGAAGGAGGAAAGTCCAGAGACCTGTACTCTTTTGTCTGAGGGAGGAGGGGCTTGGGGTGGTTCAGGTTGGATTTGGGTAGTTCCTAAAGGTCCCAGCTTAGAACTGAAAGGTGACTGGCAGTGGGCGAGTCTCAATGGGCCGCCCTTAGGCAGTGGAAATGAGCGGCGACTACATTTCCCTGAAAGCTCTAGGGTAGCAAACGCCTTCTCTCTATGGGACGGTGCCCCCAGGGACCCATGGGAAGTGTAGTTTTTTCCATTTGGCAGTCAGACACCAAGTTCCAGGACGCCCTCTGGGGGTCCCCTGTCTCTCCTCAGGCTGCAGACCTGCAGCTGGAAAGGACACAGAAGCCTCAAAAGAAGCCCAGCCCCAGCGAGCCCCTGCTGTTTGGAAGGACGTTCACTGACCACATGCTGATGGTGGAATGGACCCAGTCTGGGGGCTGGAGCCAGCCCCGAATCAAGCCCTTCCAGAACCTCTCGCTGCACCCGGCCTGCTCGGGCCTCCACTACTCCCTGCAGGTGGCGCCATCCTCCCCGCTCCCCTCGTGCTTTCCCGGCGTGTCTAGCCGGCTGCGGCCCGCTCGCTCGCCACGCCCCACGTGCTCGCTCCGCATCTGATTGGTTGAGTCCACCGCGCTGGGTTTGTCTGTTTCTCCTTCCTGTTTTCGGAGTTCGCCCGCGTCCCAGGCGGGACGGTGCCGAGGTCCGGGGGACTTGAACACCCCACGTTTTGCTTGTCACCCAGCCCTAGCTAGGCATTGCGGGAGGCCGGAAGACTCCCGATCGATCGATCGATCGAGATCGATCCGGCCTTCGCAGGAAAGAAGCGGAGGCCTGTCCTGAGGGTGCTTGAGGGAGAGGGGACAGTCAGTACAAAGTGCCCGGGAGGAGAAGACCTTGGCAGGTTTGGGGCGATCCTTGGATCGGGGCCAGGTCAAGGACATCATCAGGGCCACGCAGGTCCTCAAACCCGGGGGAGCCATGGGGGTGCTGTGAGCAGAGCTCTCTGGGGGATAGTTGGACGCCTCTGTGGAGGCTGAGCTGGAGGAGGCCGAGCTGACGGGTCATGTAGGAAAGGGTGCGGCTTGAGCCCAGGGGATGGCCGAAAAAACGAGAGACACACACGGGTCTGCCAGGGCAAGGGGGCGGAGAGAATAGGTGGTACCTGGGGGGTTGACCAGGTGACCCATGGGTTGTACTGTGTGATGGCCCACAAATGAGGACCCAGGAAGGGGAGCAACTCCTTGGGCCCGTGGAGAGTGAGGACGGGTGGGTTTCTACAGGGAGATCCAGGAGAGGGTAGCTTTTCTGACGTGGAGCTGTGGCCAAAGGCAAAGCCATCGTCTCTTCCTCATCTCTCTCCCTCTCTCTCTTTTCTCCTTTGAAATGTCCAAACCAAGGTCTTTAGGGAGGAAAGGTTGAGTGACGGTCCTCGCTCACATCAGCTTTGTTTCTTAGGGCCGTGTTTGTCCTCCAGGGCCCACCTCTGTGCCACTCAGCACCAGGTCAGTCTCTTTTAAAGTTGAAGATTGATTTTCTACACGGCAGACACACGGACCAGGTCGGCAGTTTCCGGCCACACAGTTCAGGGACACAATGTCATTCTTCACGTCGTCCCACGTCCCACCGTTCTGTTTAGAGCCCACCCTCTTTTTCCCCGTTGTTTCCCCCAGGCCCCTTGAGATACATGCACGGCCTGGTCCTTTCTCATCTTTGAGCTGCTGCTGTGGATTGGATGTTATCTGGATTGTTCTTTATCTTTAAGCACGGCCAGACATTCTTTATGAATTAAGCTAACTGATTTGATTTCAAGACTTGAAGGCAGCGGTGGGGAGCATCAACCTGAGGGCCATGCTTGTGGTTAGATGCCGTCTGCTCAGTCCTAGCCCGTAGGGACCTTATGCACAGCAGATGCACAAAAGAAACACTTCCCAGCCCTGTGCCACCCTCACAATCGTTCCTATGCCGGAGCCCCCAGTTGCAGACCACTATGTGAGCCTATCTCATTGAAGGCCTTCATCTTTTTTGCTGCCCTGCTACTTTACCGAATACGATGTCCTTCTCCAGGGACTGGTCTCTCCTGACAATATGTCCCAAGTATATAAGACAAAGTATCCCCATCCTGGCCTCTAAGGAACTTTCTGGCCATACTTCTTCCAAGACAGATTGGTTTGTCCTTTGGGAAGTCTGTGGTACTTTCAATTCAGTCATCTTCACCAGCACCACACATTCAAACGCGGCAGTTCTCCTTTGCTCTTCCTTATTCAAAGTCCAACTTTCACAGGCATCTGAGGCGATTGATAATACCAAGGGTTGGGTCAGGTGCACTTCAGTGTTCAAAGTAACACCCTTGCTTTTCAGCACCCTAAAGAGGTCTTGTGCAGCAGATTTACCCAGTGCAGTGGGTTATTTGATCTCTGGTGCTGTTTCCACGAGCATGGATTGTGGTTTCAAGCAAAACAAAATCCCTGAGAACTTCAATCTTTGTCTCCATGTATCCTGTCATTACCTCTTGATTCAACTGTGGGGATATTTCAGACAATGTTTTTACATTGAGTTGTAATCCACACTGCAGACAGTATAAGGCCCATGAAGTCACCAGTACCAGCTAACATCACATGCCTCACCCAAGAGAAGCCAGCCGTTCTAGCCATCACACTGGGGATGGGTTAAGGACATGTTTGACTGGTATGGCCAGAGAGTGATCTTTTAAAATTTCCAAATGGCTGTAGGGGATTGCTTTTGGTTTAAGGTTTAAATACTTCTGAAGGCAACCGTTTCAGGGATTCATCCAGCCTTCGTGGCTCCAGAAACTGGATTCCCTGAAGATTTGAGGTTCTGTTCCTCCTTTTCCTCTTTTTGATCAGGAATCTTCTATAGAATCTTTGATCACCATATCCAGAATGTTGAGAATGTTCCCCTCCAGAATCTAGTCACTTGTGAACTGAGGAATCACACCGTGGGTGTATACATTTTAGATAAGGTGACAAGTATCAGGGGCAGACAGAAAACTAGGCTCACTGATATCTCCCTTAAGTGGGTCTCTGGAGAACACCATATCCCTTCTTCATTTAAGCCACCACAGCCAGGTTGTCCTCTGGCATTTTTTCTTCAGTTGAGTGAGCTCCGAGAAATTATTGGGTTTAGACACCCTGCTGTATAAAACATATATTTCTACAATCCCCAGACTCTCCTTCCTAGGAGGCAAGACTCATGTCCCATAGCACCCTCCTTAAATGCATGCATGAATAACGGATATATTTTTATACAGGTATTCTTTTTACTGTGGTAAAAATATATAACAAGACCCTTTTAAAGGGCACAATGCCGTGGCCTGAAATACACTTGCAGTGTTGTGCAGCCATCACCACTGTCTAGTTCTAGAATGTTTTCACCACTCACAATAGACACCTTCTACCCAGGAAGCAGTTCCTCCCCATTCCCTCTTCTCCAAGCCTTTGGCAACCACTAAGCTACTTGCTATCCTGCCCACCTGGTTGATTTTGTACGTGCTTTGAGTTGGCGACTGTCTCAGTTACCTGGTGCTGTTGACACACAAATACTCTAAGTGGGTGACTCTAAAGAACAGGTTCTTCTCCTCACAGACCTGTAGGCGAAAGTTCACATCAGGAGCTCAGGCACGTCAGTCCCTTCCTTCTCCGTAACTGGGGGAAGTTCTTGTAAGTGATTTTCTTTCTTTTTTTAAATCGTTTTGTTAGGGGCTCATACGACTCTTAACACAATCTATACATCCATCCATTGTGTAAAGCACATTTGTACATTCATTACCCTTGTAGGTGATTTTCATAGAGCATGATCTCTGTGTTTATTCTGACATTTCTTTCAGTAATTCAGTCATTTCAAGAACAGTTGTACAGTTTTCACCACATTTAATTCTAGAACATTTTCTTCTTCCTTTTTTGTTATTCGTGTATTTTTTTTCTAAATGTGTATTCTGACATTTCTGGAACTCAAAAGCGATTAGATTTAAGACCCACCCTGTCCTGATATGCCCTCATTAACATAAGTAAAATCCTACTTCAAGCCGAGACACATTTATAGTGCGTATAGGGGTGAAGATTTAACACATATTTAAGGAAATCACAACTCAATCCATGACAGCCTTTTTTTCATGAGAAAATTCTTTTTATTTAAAAAAAAGTGGGTCATATATTCACATTGTTTAAAATTCAAAATGTACAAAAGGGGCTATGTTGTTCCTATATCCAGCTTCGTAGCAGCCCCTTCAAGAGGCCTACTACCAGTTTCCCTGCCCTTCTGGAACGTTTCTTCCCGGATTCAAACGCTGATGGATAGGATTCTCTCATTCCACTCTAAGGAACTGGGCATCCACTGTTGTTGACAGCTGGTGCTTTGTACTAGATTAGATCTTAACCTTGAAGTGTTCTTCCATAGCAGCTCTTGAAAAACCTTTTCTCCTTCTTTGTGATTGCTGTAACCAAGGCACCTCATTGAATCAGTTCCTTAATGTTAGATTAAGGAGCCCTGGTGGACTAGTGGGTTACCATGGGTTTCTCCCCTCAAGGTCAGTGGTTCAAACCCACCAGCAGCTCCCTTAAAGAGTTACGATGCAGGAAACCCTACACGGGGCTGCCAGGAGTTGGAATCAGCCGGATGCTGGTGGGTTGTTTGTTCCTGTTGAACTTCGCGGTTGTCTTGTGTGATCCTAAACAAGAGACTCACTGCCATCCAGTCGATGCTGACTCATAGGGACCCTCTCAAACAGGGTCCAGCTGCCCCCCGAGTTTCCAAGACGGTAGCTGTTTACAGGAGCAGAAAGCCTTATCCGTCTCCGAGGGAGTGGCTGGTGGTTGCCAACTGCTGACCTTTTTTGGGTGGCAGCCCAGTGCGTTGCCACAATGCCACCAGGGGTCACATCTAGGGCAGGCACCACTCCCCTTAAAAGCAAGCGACGGTGACAATGGGGACAAAAATAATAGCTGAGCAGACGGCTTCTGTCCAGGCCCAGAGCGCATGGGGTTTGGGCCTTGGTGTGGAGGTTTGCTGCTGTTATTAGGTGTCCACTCCTAGTGACCTGACCTGTGTGGCCAAACACTGCCCGTCACCATTGTGACATTGGAGCCCCTAGGTGGTGGTTCAGGGTCTGGCTTCTCTCCTAGTTCCCCGACCCAATAGAACGGTTAGTGCTTTGTTCTGTCCGATATCAGTCGAGGGTGCCTGGGATCTTAAAAGCTTGTCAGGGACTACCCAAGCAAGACGCTACTTGCCTGGGGCAGCAAAGGAAGCCGGGATCCCGAGGAGGAAATGAACTGTGTGGCTAAGCACCAGGAACTGCTTCGCAACAGTTTGATCCAAGATCCGCCAAAGCATCTTCATCACCAGGAGGGGAAGGGGGAAATGTGGACCAAATGTCAAGTTCACATGGAATCCAGGCTTCCTGGAGCTGGAGGAACCCCAGAAAGGATTGCCCGGCAATTTACCTTAAACTGAAAATAGTGGCCCCCTCCCCCCGCTCCCTTAAGTCTTCTTTAAACCAGGTAACAGTTCAGCTCCATCCGTCAAGAATGTGCGCTTGGGAGCGCGGCGCCCGTTCAAGTGTGATCTTTATGGGATCGAGTTGACAGCAGCAACTGGACAGACTCAGAGGCACCTTAGGGGCATCGCTAGTTGATGGTGACAAGGTGAGCAGCAACCCAGAGGGTGAGGAGTGAAATCTGTCACAGATGCTTAACCTACAGAAGCAGCTGAGTCCCTGTGTATTGTGCTGTGTCTCCTAAGAGTCCTGGTGGCGTAGTGGGTTGCTTGTTGAGCTGCTAACAGCGATGTTAGCAGTTCGAAACCATCAGCAGCCCAGTTGGGGAGAGAGAAGGTTTTCTATTCCTGGCAAGCGTTGACAGCTTTAGAAACCCACAGGGGCAGTTCTACTCTGAGTTTGAGTTTTAAGCTGAGTGCTATGTGTAATCCCCACCCCACCCCGAAAAGAGAAAGAAAAGATACTATTGAATTTTCCTCAAGAGTTCCTGGATGGAAAGGTCATTTTGTAATTTTGAGAGCAAGCTGTCACATGATTTCCATAGAAGTTGTACCAAGTTCCACTTCTACCTGCAGAACCGATGTCCTGAACGCTAGACAACCTTGTGAGACTGAACAAGGAGAAAAATCATTTCCAGTCTCCTCAGTTTTTTAGAAGGAAGCCTGGTGGGGTACACACTGAGCTGGCTACCGCAAGGTCAGCTGTTTGAACCCCTCAGCGAGACCGTGGGTCTGTTCCCACAAAGATGCAAAGTCTCAGACACCCAAAGGGAGCGGCGTTCCTCCCTGTCCTATGGGATTGCTGTGTTGGAATCCACTCGATGGCAGTGGTTTTGTCTTGTTTATTTGCTGTCGAGGAACCCCGGTGCCACAGTGGCTAAGCACAGGGCTGCTAAACGAGCGGTCGAACCTTTGAACTCACATTTATTCAGTTGCTGATATTTCCTCCTATCGACTTGTCACCTGTTTTCTTGTCTGTTCCCTTGCTCAACCCGCCGATGTTGCACTTTTAAGTATTGTAGGTTTGTAATATGTTTTAATATCTGATAAGGTAATCCGTACCTGATAGGTATTCCACTCACATACACACACTCACAAGACACACACACTCTCTCTCTCATCTTTTACTCCTGTTTAAAATGTTCTGGCAAATCTTGCTTTCCATTTTGAATGTATTCAATCATTCACTCAACAAGCCCGTGTTGGCCTCACACTGCTCTGGCCACAGGGACTGGCTGGAGTGCGGGTACTAAGGCGAACGTATCCTCTCTGGGGGTCCCTGCCCCATGGGCATTCCCAGTCTGTGTACTGGCATGCTGATGTTTCTGTGGTGAGCGAACTTCAGGGGGACTGCCACACGGAAGCTGAGAGATGAGTTGGGTGAAATTAGGAGCGTTTCCCAGCCCAGGCCAACCCGAGCTTGGGTGGAGCCTAGATCCATCGGGGAGCAGGGGGGAGAGGTCTGGGGGCACAGTCCTTAAGCACTCAGTGAGGAACAGAAAGGCCGGGGGTTTGAACCCGCCCGCTGCTCCCTGGGAGAAAGACGTGGGTGGCAGTGTGCTTCTGTAAAGGCGACGGCCTTGGGGCTTATACTGGCTGACATCAAGTTCATTGGGGCTCATGGCCACCTGCTAGGACAGACCAGATCCGCCCCTGTGGGTTTCCAAGCTGCAGATCAGTACCGGAGCAGGAAACTTAGCTCTTTTCTCCCCAGTGGGTTCAAACCGCTGACCCAGTTAGACTAGTTAGCAACTAGTTAGTTACTAGTTAACTTGTAACCCACTGTGCCAGCCAGGCTCCTAGAAGGCAGGCTACATCTGTCCAGAGAACAACGGAGGGTCATTCATGAGATATAGAATTATTCCATATGAAAGTGTCATTGTTAGGCGCCGTATCGTCAGTGACCCACATAGCCACCCTGTGTACAGCAGACCCCAACACTGCCCGGTCCTGGGCCAGCCTCATGTCTGTTGGGGTGCCGCTCGCTGCTGTAGCCCCTGTGTACAGCCATCTCATTCCGGGCTTTCCTCTTTTCGCCCACCTTCCCAGACACGACGTCTCTCCTCCAGGAGCCGGGGCCTCCTGATCACGTGGCCAAAGGTGCCCGAGATGAGCTCTCACTATCCCACTTCTGAGGCGCTTTCTGGCTGTACTTCCTCCTAGATAGACTTACTGGTGCTTCTGGCTGGTAGCCCAGGGTGATTGCAAGAGTCTGCCAGCACCGTCCAGGCCAACACACCGGCCCTTCTCATTCATGGTTCTGTTAGGTTGCTGGGATGGTTTCTAGCTCAAGTCTTGCTTCTCAACGCTGAAAGAACCCATGAGGGGTGGGGGGTAGGGTGGGGGTAGTACCCAACTACCCAACAGCTATGGCTGCTTTAGGGGAGCATGGGGAAGATCCCACCACCCACCATGAGACCCGAGAGAACACCCTGAAAGAGGGCATGGCCTACCCTCGGACAGCTATTTGTCCCGTGGTCAAGGGTACTGGCCGATCTCAGTGGCTGAGTTCAAGTGCATTTGTGTGAGGTACAGTCCCTGGTGCCTCGTGTGGGCATGCCCTTGGCTCTGAGCATGCTTAGTCTCCACAAGTGTCTAATGTGTGCCAGATTTCTTTGCGGCCCCTTCACTTGTGGCATGGCCAGTTAATTTTCGTTTGGCGTAGCCATTCGGGGAAGACAGCCCTCTTTATCCCGAATCTTTCTACCTTTCAGTTCAACTTCCTCTAATGCTCACCTTGGGCCCAGATCACCCAGCGTCATCAGTTGGCACCTGTTGGTTCATCTCACCTGGCCACCCGCCTTCTTGCCTTTGGCTGTAAGATCGTGACCCAGTGCCCAGACCCTGTGGTCTGACTTCAGCCGTTTGAATGTCCGGGAGACTAGGACCAAACATTTGATTTAAAAATTTGGTTTAACTGGGAGTCAAAAAGAAAATAGCGCATTAAAACACGCATGCCTTTTTGACAGCTCAAACGCTTGGGGTCCACTGAGTCAACTCGAATGTTTGGGGTCCAGTGGCGGTACATGGTCACTCACTGCCACTGAGTCAATTCGGACTCATAAGGACCCTATGGGGCAGGGTAGACCCGCCCCCGTCCCTTTCCGAAGCTGTACCTCTCTACCGGAGCAAAAAGGCTTGGTCTTTCTCCGCAGGAGCAGCTGGTGGGTTTGAACCTCCCACCTTGGGGGTAACAGTGCAATGATACCCCGTGACCCTACCAGGGCTCCTTGGCATTGGATGCAGTGGTGGTGAAGATTCTCACCTTCCTGTAAAATTAGGAACAAGGCGGTCAGGGCTTACCCTGGGCCTTCTCTGCTGTCCGGTCTCTGGGCCCTGCCTCGCCACTCAGTGTGCATGGTCCCTATCCCGGTGCTCATTCTGCGGCCCCTCCGCGGTCTCCATCTCTGTGGGGGGCCTAGTAATTGTCCCCAACTCTCTCCTGGTGGCCTGTGGTCTCTGAGCACCCCCTCCTCACCGGTCCCCCACCCCCCGCAGCTCTTTGAGGGCATGAAGGCTTTCAGAGGCCAGGACCAGAGGATACGCCTCTTCCGACCCTGGCTCAACATGGACCGGATGCTGCGCTCCGCCCAGCGCCTCTGCCTGCCGGTGAGGGGTCCTCCCAGGTGGGCGGGGGCGCGGGCCAGGGGCGCGGGGTCCCCTGACTCTCTCCGCCCTCTGCCCAGAGTTTCGACAAGCGCGAGTTGCTGGAATGCATCCGACGGCTAATCGAAGTGGACCAGGCCTGGGTTCCCGAGGCCAAGGGCACCAGCCTCTACGTGCGGCCCGTGCTCATCGGGAACGAGGTGGGGGGACTCTGATGGGCCCCTGCCCCAACTGGTGGGAAGGGGAGGTGATGAGGGGCCCATGGGCCTAGACTATGGGGGAAGGATGGTGGGTGGGAACCCCTGATCTGAGGGAGGAGGGGGCTCATGGGATTTCAGCCTCCCCTCTGGGTCTGGGGTGGAAGGTGGGCAGCTGGACCTCTGGGTCCCTGATTACCACCACCACCGTCCTTGTGTCCTTTGCAGCCCTCCCTGGGTGTCGGCAATTCCACCAACGCCCTGCTGTATGTCATCCTGTGCCCCGTGGGCTCCTACTTCCCTGGAGACGCCGTGACCCCCGTCTCCCTCCTGGCCGACCCCGCCTTCGTGCGGGCCTGGATGGGTGGGGTTGGCGACTGCAAGCTGGGGGGGTAAGCACCCACCCACCACCCTCCCCCGGTTCTTTCCTCGAATGCTCACTCCTCGGTTTCCTCCTCTGGTGAGGGGTGACCAGAGGAAGCCAAGCCATCTGCGGGGCGTGGAGAGGGTTTTACAGCGGAGCAAGTGGGCAGGATTGGCTGCAGGTCTTCCAGGAAGGAAACCCGGGAACCAGGGCGCCCAGGAACCACCAGCGACCCCTTGAGTGTCAGCAGAACTGGGCTCCGCTAGGATTTTCAAGGACTGATTTTGGGGGGAGTAGGTGGCCAGGCCTTTTTTCTGAGGCACCCCAGAGGGCGATCCCAACTGCCAGTTGCCCCATTAACAGCCAAGCACGTTAACCATTTGCACCACGCGGGGAGCGGATGGGGGCTCTCTGGCTCCTGAGAAGCCTCCAGAAATGAAGTTCAGCCTTAACTTACCTGTCTTTCCCGAGGAATCAGACCCTTCTTCTGAGGAGCCTCGGGGTGGTCTTGAACCTCCTACCTCCTGGCTAGCAAGAAGGAAGCTTAGATGTAGGTCAAGGGCCTCTCCCCCAGGCAGTCTGCCTGGAATGGCCTCCGGTGGACTTGCTGGTTGGTTTGCCCGCCAAGGGCTCTGACTTAGGGAGAAGAGAGGAGTGACCCCCTTGGCGCACCAAGGGTGGTCTTAAGACAGGAAGTGTGCCCCCCCCCCCACACACAGGGGGTCCTCTGGTACTTTCCACCCACATCTCCTGAGGGGCAGCTCCCTGTCCGGTCAGAGTCACCTGGAACCCCTCCCCCCCTTTGTCCCTGCCCCCTTGTCCAGAGCCATCCATATGTGCTCTGGGTTCCTCCCAGGAGGTCCAGTCATGGCCTGACTAGGCTTGGGAGATGGGAGGGCTTCCTGGAGAAGGTGACTCCCACTCAAGGTTCAACTAAGACTAGTGGGGAGAAGGGCGATGGTTCCCTGTGCACAAAAGGTGGTACGAAGTTTCTAATACTGGGGACCAGTACAGTGGGGATGGGGGAGAGGAAGGTACAGGGAAGGTGTCCCATGCCACCCCACCCCCCAAACCAAACCTGCTATCGAGTCCATTCTAACACTCCCTTGAAGCCGCTGGTGGGTTTGAACTACCAACCTTAACTGTACAATAACAGCCAACTGCTTACCCGACAGCACTGCCAGACTTGGCAAAGTATCTAAAACAAAGCAAAAAGCCCAAACACCCAAACTCATTGCCACCCAGGCCAGTCTGACTCACAGGGACCCTGTAGAACTGCCCCTGAGGATTTGGGGGACCTAACACCTTGAGTAGAAAGCCTCATCTTTCTCTTGAGGAGCAGCTGGTGGTTTCGAACCGCTGACCTCGAGGCGAGCAGCCCAACAGGTAACCGTGGCACCACCAGGGCTCCTGGGAGTGTCCAGGATGAGGGGCAAAAAAACAAATCCCAAACCAACCAAGTCTGTGTTTTGAACATCTGAGCAAATGCCTGGACCAGGCTAGACCTTTGAAAGGCAGACTGAGAGGCTGGGACATGGCCCTGGGGGGAGAGGGGCTTGGGAGACCCCTTTTGGGGCACAGTGGGAGGATGGGGTTCTTGGCCCCCGCCGATCAGGCTGCCCTCCATCAGGAATTACGGGCCCACCGTGTTCGTACAGCAGGAGGCGAGGAACAGGGGCTGCGAGCAAGTCCTCTGGCTGTACGGGCCGGACCACCAGCTCACCGAGGTGGGCACCATGAACATCTTCGTCTACTGGACCCACGAGGATGGGGGTGAGCACACCCAGGACTCCCCAAGCCCTGCCCCTCCCCCAGAACCCCAGGGCAAGGGGTGCACCGGCAGGCCCTAGTGCAGTGATTCTCCATCTTCCTCATGCTGCGAATCTTTCATACAGTTCCTCATGTGGTGGTGACCCCCCCAACCATAACATGATTTCTGTGGCTACTTCATCACTGTCGTTTGGCTACTGTGATGAATCGGGCGACCCCTGGGAAAGGATCGTTCTGGGAGTTCTGGCTCCTAGGAGGCTGGGGTGAGTGGGCCTAAGGAGGTGAGGGACCATAACATTGCCCCGCTCTCCCGCCTGACCAAGTGCTGGAGCTGGTGACCCCCCCACTGGACGGTGTCATCCTGCCTGGAGTCCTCAGACAGAGCGTGCTGGACCTGACTCAGACCTGGGTGAGGGCATCGGGAAGTGGGGGTGGTGGTGACAGGGCTGGTGCCTTAGGAATGGGCATCAGGGGGGTTATGGGGTAGGGAGAGGCTGGGGCACACCAATTTCCTGTGTCCCCCCCCCCCTTGGGTCTCAGGCAGAGCCTTGCGGCGGGCCCACCCTCTGGGCTAGCATCAACTCTGGCCCCTTGTCCCCCCTCATCCACAGGGCGAGTTCCGGGTCTCCCAGAGGAAGGTCACCATGAAAGAGCTGCTGCGGGCGCTGGAGGAGGGGCGGGTGCGTGAAGTCTTTGGCTCAGGCACGGCTTGCCAGGTCTGCCCGGTGCACCAGATCCTGTACCAGGGCCAGGTGAGCAGGCAGGACTGGCATCAGTGGGGGAAGGGCTAAAGGGACAGAGAGGGCCCGATCCTCATGGCCCCCTCTGCCCCCCTAGCAACTTCTCATTCCCACCATGGAAAACGGGCCTGAGCTGATTCTCCGCCTGCAGATGGAGCTGAAGGCCATTCAGGTGAGGTACACCACCGTGGCAGTTGGCAGGACATGTTGTTCCCTAGAGACATGCGAGTCCCCAGGAGCCTCCAGAATGAAAGCTGATCTCTCTACAGAGTGCAGAGCCAGGAACAGCCCCTCCCATAATCCTTTGGAGCCCCAGATGAGTCTGCATTCTAAGAATCACAGCAGCTAAAAATGTCCCTTTGGGGCCAGATAAGCTTTTCCTGGGAGCGTTTGGCACAAGAAATCCTCATTCCATTCACCTGGTTGGGCCCTGAGTCTCCACATCCCTAGGCATCTTGGTGGTGTGATCCTCTCCCATCCTTGAGTATCCTGGTGCCAGCACCCCACTCCCATGAGCCTCTGCTGCACCCGGTATTCTTGTTTGAGAAATTCGCCTTCCTGTGAACCTGTGGGCCTTAGCCGGTCTTCTGGCCTTCGAAGTTGGCCTCTCATGAGGCCCTGAGTCCAGGGTTACCCCATTTGGCCTGAAGAATCTTTCTCCTTAGAGGAAGATGCTGGTCTTCCGAGACCTGATCTGACCCAAGAACGGTTCCCGGCATGAACTTCTGGAAGCATTCTCATTCTTCTGAGCTGTCTTTCCCGAGAACCTCTGGGCACCTTTCCTAGCTCTCCAGACTGAGAACAACCTTCTAGTTGAACTTCCCATCCGTCATTTTCACGTCTCCAACCCTTTAAGAGTCCTGGAGGGGTAGCCCTCACTCATTGGGCTAACTCCCAAGGTCGGCAGTTCAAAACCACTAGCCTCTTGGTGGGAGAAAGATGAGGCTTTCTACTCCCGTAATGAGTTACCGTTTCAGAAACCCACAGGGGCAGTTCTACCCTGTTCTGGGGCCCCTTCTCTGCCATGGTTCCCCTGGACCCACGATGGTTAGCGAGCTTCCACGGATTGGACTCCATTTCCCATGAGGTTCTGGGGCGCAGCTCCATAAACGCGGCAGTCTGGGATGTCCCACGGGCTCCTGGGAGTTGCAGTCCGGGCCAAGCCCGCACCTCACTTTCTGCCTGCGTTGCCCCCGCAGTACGGAACGAGCGCTCACAAATGGATGCTCCCGGTCTGACCTGCGGACCGGGCCCCACCACCTTCGAACCCGTCGCCCCGCCGACGCGTGCAGCGTTTGACTCTCCAGCCCCCTCGTCCTCACACCTGAAAGTGCAATAGGGAAGGAAAAGGCCAGGTGCCCGATGCCTGAATCTCGGGCGCCCCCACGTGGTTGCTACACCCCAAAGCCATAAAGGGCCAGGCCCAGGCGTTCTGGCCACCCGCCTCGCCTCGCCTCCGGGGCCCGGGGGAATCGGATCCCCCAGCGCTGTCCCAGGGGCGTGCGCTCAAGACTCCGCCTCTCTCCGTTCCCTGGCGGGAACTCCCGGTGCTGCCGTTGATTTGAATTGTCCTTGCTGCAATTTTGAAATAAAATGCCAAAGATCAAGACGTGCACTGCTCTCTCTAGTGATGTGACTTCTGGGGGCGGGGACCCCACAAGAGGTGAGGGCTGTGGTAGGTCTTAACTCGACACTCCTGGCCTCAGCCGGTTACTTAGGGACCCAGCACACCCGAGCTTTTGCCTTCCCCCTTTCTCTGAAGCAGGCGTCCTCTTTATCGCAAACTCAATTGAATAGCGTCCCTCACCTGCTCCCAACTCTTTGTCTGGAGGACAGCCACGCATATGGTCTCCCTGGTCCCTGTTCTTCCTGGCCTCTGACCCCGCCCCTTCAGCCGCAGCCCCAGTGCCTCAGTCCAGCCAGGTCCCCACGCTCTGGCCTCCTGGCGGTCCCCAACAAGTCTTTATATTCTATACCCACCTGTCCCTTTCCCCCAGCTCTCACCTGGCTCTGCAGCACCCTAGCCAGTCCTGCAGATGGTGGGTGATGTTGCAGGAGGTGGACCTCAAGACGATTCTAAAGTCTGGTGACGCAGAGATGGAGAGACCTGCTCCTTTAAAGTCTCAGAAACAGTGGCTTCGGAGTTTGGGGCCTTGGTCGTTAGCAGATGACCCTCGGCCCCACACGCAGGAGAACAGATCACTGGCCGGTCCTGCACCATCCCATGATCCATCGGTGACGTTGCCCTGAGCTGATTTTCAGAAGCGATCTCTATGAAACCCCCGCCACGTCTCCCTCCCATGGAGAGGCTGGTGGGTAAGAACTTCTGACCTGCCAGTTACCAGTCGAGTGCTTTAACCACTGCGCTGCCAGAGCTCCTTGCTGTCACCTCTTGGTCTTTCTAGAACGTGAATTCCGCAGGCAGGAGGGCAGGAGGACTTGGTCTGGTTCTCTTACATCCTCTTAATGGGCAGTGGTGGTTCTGTTAGGTTTCTCAGGTGGGTCAGACCTCGGTTCTTGGCTTCGCACGATGAAAGAATTCACAGCGAAGCCCGTTTTGTCATCCAAGTGGGTTTTTATGAAGAACGGAACAAGTGTCAGGTTCTACAGTCTCAAAGGGGCCCACAGCTGGGCCTGAGCAAACACGTGGAAGACAGCACCCATGAGTGCGGATCGTAGAGGGGTGGGGGGAATCCCAGAAGGCCAGAAGCCCAAGAACCCTAGAGGCTGAGCGCATGCGGGTCAAGAGGTTGTGTGCCCCAGTAGGCCCGGAGTGGGTGCATGTGCACCTGCGTGGGGGAGGGAGACCCTCCCCCTGTACTTGCCTCTGACCAGGAGCAGCGTAAGAGAGCGACTCAGAGCGTGCTCCCTGCCTTTATTCTAACCCACCCCCTGGCTGGGGGAAGGTGTGGTTGATGGTATTGGTTGACCCCATTGGCTGAGTTAGGCCCACCTGGGTGATGCCATGAGCCTGGGCCTAGTTTGGCCCTCCCACCGGGCATGTTCAGTTTGAGGTCCTCATAGGTGTCTAAATCGTTGCCTGATTTCTTTCCAACCTCCTCTATGGGGGCCTTTGCAGGCATGGGAGGGACTCCCTGTCCCTAAGCTAGCTCCATCACAGTTCAATAGAGAATTCTCCCCTTCCTTGCTGGAGACCAGGCCGCCCTGGTGGTGAGGTGGGCTAAGCACAGGACTGACTTACAAGGTCTAGTCATTTGACCCCATCAGCTGCTCCTTGGGGGAAAGATGAGGCTGGCCGTTGACAGTCTCAGAAACCCACAGGGGCAGTTCTGCCCCTGTCCTACAGGGTCCCTATGAGTCAGCATCGACTCGATGGCAGTGAGTTTGGTTTGGAGTTTGAGGGTGAAGACCCTGTTAGATGCTCAGTCGATACAAAGAAGCCCCACGTAGAAGGGGACAAGATGCTGCCCCACCACCAGGATCCGTTTCAGATGACTGTGTCTACTGGAGTAGCAGCCGACCCGAAGATAAGCCGAGGTACCTAGTTTTACCACAAAACTGGGAAACTCGTTGACTCGAGTATAAGCCTCACGTTCTGTGTCTCAGTTCTCTCTCCGTTCAGTGTCTCAGTGTTGACCTCTCAAGTAGCCTTCTGCAAACCGGCTTCTCAGAAATGGAGCTCTCCTATAGTAGACTGGCCCCATGGATGGGGTTTTCTGGACTGTCATCCCTCCTGAAGCCCTCTCTCCCATGAGCCTCGGAGCGGGTTCAATCCACCAGCCTGTGGGTGGGCAGCCAAGTGCTTAGCCACTGCACCACCGGGTCTTCCTTTCTGGAACCTTCTCCCACTGTACGAGTCTGGGTGTCCTTAACTCTGTTCCCACACAGTCATGTGTGCTGTCTCTGTGTGGACAGAGCCAGACTCCTCTAGGTCCGAACTGGTCGCTGTGCTAAGATGCCCGAGTGCCCTTGGGCTGTTCACTTTGTCTCTGGTCTAGTTTGCCAGTGGCTGGGCGCTGGGGGCGGGGGCCTGGGAGGCCCAGACACTGTGATCTGTCCATCAGCTGCCTCACCCCCTGCCATCGAGTCCATTTGACTCATAGGGAGTCGACAGGGCAGGGCAGAACGACCTCTGTGGGCTTCCCAGGTCATGGTTACGTGTGTGTTGGGCTGCCATCCGCGTGGTCGGCAGTTCGAAACCACCAGAAGCCCCTTGGGAGAAAGATTGGGCCTTCTACCCCCATAAAGTTACAGTCTTGGAAACCCATGGGCCGGGCGGGCAGGGTCCCTGTGAATCAGCCTTGACTCAACAGTGGTGAGAACTCTTTTTTTTTTTTTTAACATTTTATTAGGGGCTCATACAACTGTTATCCCAATCCATACACACATCAATTGTGTAAAGCGTATTTGTACATCATTTCTCAAAACATTTTCTCTCCAAGTGGTGAGAACTCTTAACCGGAGGCGAGAGCCTTCTCTTTCTCCCAAGAGGCGGCCGGTGGTGTCAAACTGCTGTCCTTGAGGTGGGCAGCCCAACAGGGAACCACGAACCAGCAGGCCCCTATCAGCTGTGAAGCTTCTGCGTTGCCAAGAGAACCTCTAGGGGCTGTGACCACGCCCTCTCATTGGATTCACCCCACCAGCCCTTGGGTGAGCAGCTTCAGGGAATTTCTGGACCAGGGGGGCTGGCTCTTCGTTTCCGATTGGTATTGACCCCAAAGGGCAAAGTAGAACTGCTCCCTAGGGTACCCAAGGCTGTCCTGTTGACCTTGTGGTTGACAGATCAATTCAGAATCCATCATGCAGCTCCCTCCCTCCCTCTGTTAGGTATCAAGATAGGGGGTTGTTCCTCTCCATGCCTAGGGGCCCCTACAGGACGTTGGAAGCCGATAAAAGCCAAGGGGCATGTGCCAATTTTGGACTAGAGCCAGGAGGGGGACTTTTACACCTAGGTGGGCGGTACACCTGGATTGGCCCAATGTAGGTCAAGTGGGCTTAAGTCAGCCAACCATCAACCACACCTCCCAGCTGAAGGGGCTCAAAAGCTGGAACCTGGAGACCACCACTCTCTTTTTCAGCAGCTCCTCCCCCTTCCGCTTGGCCATGCTAGTCTCTCTCTCCTCAGGTCGCCAAGGGTTGGGAGGCAGTCCTGTGCTCAGTACACCGTGAAGCCTGAAACGTCCGTCCTTTATAAAACCCCACTTGGATCACAAACCAGGCTTCAGTGTGAATTCTTTCTCGTGCGAAGCCGAGAACCGAGGCATTTCCCACCCGGGAAATCAAACAACTGCCCCACTCCCCCACGGCCAGGCAGTCCATTCTGACCCACAGGAACCCTCCAGGACAGACTAGAACTGCCCCTGTGGGTTTCCCAGGCTGTAAATCTTTACAGGAGCCGACAGACGCATCTTTTTCTCATGGAACTGCTGCTAGTGGTTTGCCTGCTGACCTGGCAGTCAGCACCCCAACTCATCAGTCACGACACCTCCAAACAGCCCAAACCCTCTCATGCCAACCATAGTCATGGTCCAATGGCAGAATTCTACTCTTCCAAGTGGGAGACCTGGGTTCAACTCCTACCCAGTGCACAGGTGTCCTGGGAGCTTCCAGGCTAAGACAGACCAGGAAAAAAAGATCTGCTGGCCCACTTCCAAACATCAGAATCAACCAACAACCCCCCCTGGGTTCTGATCTGCCAACCTTGCTGGGGGGATGGGTGGGCACAGATTCGTTGGGTCTCCACGTAGTTCCTTCAGCTCCAGGGCTCTAGCCTACGTAGCTCCATGTGTCTTGCCAGCAAGCATGTCTCTCTGGGAATGTCTGTCCCCGCTCCAGCGAGCTGCTTATCTCCTTTGCGCCTCCAAATGAGGTCCTCAAGCTGCGGCCTGATTGACAGGCTAAACTCCACCCCTTCACTCTCAAGTCTCAAATTGACAACAGATTATGTAACTGCCACACATGGAAACCCTCCTCAGTACACTCAGTACACCCCTCACTCCTCATCCTTCCTATGTTCCCTGGTTCTATTCCTCCTTTCCTAACCCTCTGACCTTTGCCCTTGGATAAATGCCACCCTTTTGATTTTTTTTTTAACTTTTGAAAATATTTTTATTTTATCATCATTAAGGTATTTTTAAAATTTTTGTATATATATATAATTCCCTAGTTCAATTGCGTCAAGCAGAATTGTACATTTGCTACCACAATCAGTTTCCAAACATTTTTTTCCTACATGGACCCCTTGACATTGTCTCCCCTTCATCCCTACCTCCACCACGGTGCCCCTCTCCCCCCACACTCTCATTCTACCTGCTGTCTCCACAAGGTCATCAGTCCTGGGTTTCGCATCTTGAAAAATGGGAAAACATATAACACAACTCCAAGAGGGTGACCTCCAATGACATGCCACCTCTGAGACACATCCTAACAAGCAAACACCAAACAGAACAATACAAACCAAAGATCCAGATCATTCCGGAAACCAGATCAGGTCCAGCATGCAGGAGAGCGGGGATCTACTGACACTGTTTTAACTGTTCAAGTCAGATGTACACCTCTCATCTATGCTCACCTTTCCAAAGCTCTATGTTTAGGAACCACTGTCCGCCCATCCCTCAACTGTAGACAGAGGGAGTTCTCCGGAGACAGTTTGAC